AAATAAATAAATAAACAAATAAACATTTTTATGTGAGGAAGGGTAGAATCTGTCCAAAGGTGCAATATTTATTATTTATTTATTTTGTCATCCATTCAATATTTTATTGAAGATCATTTTTGTTTTTTTTCCTTTTAGTCTCACATATTGAAGATTCTCTATCTAGTAATTCCTACCTGGTAATTCCTCTTTAGTTGATCATTATATCATGGCTAATATATATAAAATATTTAACTAATAAATACCTTGAAATCAATTTCCTATTAATTAGAAAGTTGAAGTAAAACCTTTTAGTTCACCACCTTATAGGCTTTTCATTGATTTTCTACATTATATAAGTACTAAATTTACTCATTTTTGTTTTTTTATAGAAATCAATATTAAGGGTAATTGACTAATTGGACGCACTAGGGTGAGACCCACAAAGCAAGGTGGCAAAAATATAAAAAAAGGGCCTAACCGAGTGTGACCGTTGGCACTTAACAGTCAACAAACACAGCTGTTAGCTTAATTGGATGGAGGGACGACAAGTGCATGTTTTCACATTGTAGAGGGACGACAAGTGCATGCTTTTACATTGTAGAGGGACGACATGAAGCCAATTCATAGTAGAAGGTTTAGAATGCACTATTTTGGATAGTAGAGGGACGATAGATGGCCTTAACCCCTTTCGAAAATAATCAAATGTTCTTCTTAACAGTAATTCAATTTCTCCTCGGGCATTGTCATTCATGCTTAAAGCAACAAATTAAGGCACAGAAAAAAATAAAAGCCGTAAGAAAAGAAAAAGGCTGTTGTATCTCCTGCTCCCAGGGTGAAAACAAAAGAGGGAGATGATGACGTACTCAGGCACGCCACCCACGTCCAAACAGAACCAACCCTTAACAGTCTGCTCCAACAAAAAAAACAAACAACAAAAATGGCTGCTAGATCTGTCCCCCTGCTTTTACAGATCAACCAGGGCAGGGGAGCACGGTGTTTTCCAACAAAAAAAAAAAAACAAGGGGGGTACGGTGACCTGCTGCTGTTAAAAAAATTGTTCACTTTGTACAAATGCCAGTCATTCGTTTACTTTGGACCCACTTGATTTGGATGATTTTGAAGTTTGATTGATAAAATTGAGGAACTGAGGGGATGAGAAGATGAGATTTGATCTTTGGAAGAGCACAAGGATTTGGTCCATTCTTTGACTGGGGGAGAGGGTCCTCTGATGTTATGGGGTGAATGAACTTAAAGTTTGATTTTCAGTATGCTAAATCTTAAGGAGTTGTTTGGTTGCAAATTAAGCTTATTGCAAAATTTTTTATTGAGATAAGATTGCATTGAAGAATAAAAAGTATGGTAGGAAAAATTATTAAATTTAGTTGGAATTTTATTAGAGTGTTAATTTTTTTTATGTTTAATAAGAGATTAATACAAAAGAAGTTGTTAAAAAAGTTATCAAGTTCTATATAAAAAATTGAGAAAAACATTTTTTTTCAAAAGTACATCAAGAAAATTTTGTTAGTTTATAATTGTGTTAAGGAAAATAAAAAGTAAAAGCACTAATTTCACCTTCTTTTATTACAAATTAAG